CTTCAAAGAAGCTTCCTCAAGATTGCTAAGCTTCTGGCAGTTTGCTGGTACATCAGTCCGTGATTTTCGACCGTTGATTCGGTATGTAAGTGTGCGGTAGGGAACGTCATATGCTGCTGCTGCGGCATGAATACTTTTGAACTGGCCATTCTTAAATGCTTTTAGTGCAAGCTGTATTCGATCTTCTGATTTGATCACTGGATCTGCAGTCTTTTGAGGCATGATAATGGTTGTCTGGCTCTGCGAAGCAAGTCAGGGGCGAAGGAGCTGAGGTAGCCGAAACTGTGTGCCGCTCGGTTGTGGATTACGTTAACTAACTACCTAAACCTCGGTAACTTAACGTAATTCCCAACCGAGTCGCCCATTCCCCATCCGAATTCAACTCGTTTGAAACTTTGAAGCTATCCAAACCGACCAAAACAATATATTTTTCAATTGGATCTAGCTAGTTTTACGTGCCCTACAATAAAGCAATTTGAACACCTTGGTGGAGCGCGTTTTGGGGGTTCTAAAGGTAAAGGCGCGGAACCAACAGATGACCCCCCAACCTCATTACCTTGCTCATTTCTCACCTGAATAAGATCCCTAGCTTCCTGTACACAGAGTCCTTCATTAGGAGCCATCTGGCGTCTGGATTGCTTCCTTTTCTGCTTCTCTTTCTCATTGGCTGCGCGTAGATCATGGTTTTCCTTCGCTAGTAGGGCCGCGCTGTGCATAGCCATCTCATAACCCTTTATAAGTTGCTGTATGGCCAATTTTGAAGGTGTTAAAGGGCTTTGAGACCTCTGTTTTAGGAGCTTCTTGACTGAGGACGCTTGCTTTTGTAATTGCCGAAGGGTATGAGGTGTAGCTAACCATGAGGAATTGGTTGATTGACTTGCACGGCTCGGAGGGGGTGTAGGAGTTGATACACAGATATTTAACCTTTCAGGCACCCTCTGTGGCTCAAAAGGATAGATTCCAGCTGCCGCGAAGCCACTTTGGATATTTAGAGGCTTAAAAACCTCTAGATGAGCCGTTGGATATGCTCTAAGGAGGTCAAACTTATCAATATGGTGATATCCCAAGCGCATCTTTTGCTCAACGAGGCCTCCGTAAGCACGCTTTAGAGGGCCAAAACAACCAACATCTAGCGGTTGTAGGAGATGAGAAGAATGAGCAGGCATACAGATAGCAATAATATCGTTATCCTTGCGCTTTATCGAAACCAGGCGTTAGATGGCTCCCATGGCCATCTAAGATGAGTAGACGATATCTTCCGACCTTACAGCGAGTTGTTGCAGGGATAAAGACCTTTTGAAGCCACTAGAGGCCTATCTCATCTGTTATCCATCCATTTTGGCTGACTTCAATTCTCCAATCAGGTGGTAGGGCGTGATCTTAATACCATCCTTCAATATGAACCTTCCCCTTGAAGATTATACAAGAAGGAAGCACCCAGCCAATTATATTAACACATTCGATTGTTGTAACCCATTCCCAATTACCTGACTGAATGTGATGAGGCTTCCCAGACATATTAGCTCTTGTAACTACCTTAGTAGTTACAATCAAGCCCATAGCGAAGCCAGTTTCATCAAAATTGTAGATATCCTCATGGGAGACGCCATATCACATTTGAATCTGTTGTATGCAGTTGAACCACTCCTTGATAATCTTTAGACCCTCGCATTTAGCTCGGCTATAATTATATCGTCGAGTATATCGAGTTTTAATCTCCTCACGCCAATTGCTAAAGTTAGAGACCGAGTTCTTGCCAATAGGTTTGAATCCCAAGGGAATATCCGCTTGGAGAAGGATATTGGCCATTTCTTGCACATGAGATGGTCTAGGGGGCACTCCACACAAATCCCTAGATAGTGTCCATTCTACTAATGATTCTTCCTGCAGAAGATAGCCGGTGGCCATTAGCGCGCTTTTCAATTTGATATTAGCATCCATCAAGTCGGCCAGAGGGTAGATTTAGGCACGTTAAATGTCTTCGCAGCGCGACAGATACTTGAAATTTCCCCCTTTTTAAAAGCAGGTATTGCTAATTGAATCCTTCCCTCTTGCTCCACCAAATTTTGAGAGGTTTGGCGCGATTTTGGTGGCATGGTAGCTGTTTGGATAGCTTCAAGGTTCGAACGCGTCGAGATTGGATGGGGGTGGGCGGCTCGGTTGGGAATTACATTAACTAACTCGGCCATGCTGCCAATTCTCTTATGTAAGCTATTTTAACTCACGCCACCTATCGAAATCGACCTCAACTCATCTGCAGCCACGCTGAAGCTTCCTCTCGTCGCAACATTTTCAGTCGATGTCTGCCGACGTGCACAGATCCGCACTTTCTCCTGGGGAACTCCGATTAGCCTTTCGGACAGACAAGTAAATGTGGCTTGGGCAGAGGGACCCTGATCGTCGCGATGCGGCGAATGCACACAAACAACCGCAACCATTTTTCCTTCATACATTTAAGGACCTTCTCCTCAAGGGCCACCACCGTAGGGAGAATGCGCAGTCATCTTTATGTTCACCGCCTTTTGGTGAAACGCTCTCCGCGTCGACCTCTCCTACACGAGAAGAAGAGGGAGATAAAAGTCAAGGGGTAAGGCATACCAACTATCAGTAATCGGTCTCGAAATGTTTCCGTATTCTCAGGTCATGGCTGACTAGGTTACTTTATGACTCGTGAAAAAGCAGTCAGATGCAATCGACACCTCGTTCTACCCTCTGTCTATCTTGAGGAATCTATCGTCATTCCCTTCGGCCTGCGCCACTTCACATTTATGTTCCGTCTATACCAATTCTTTCAGAGACCATATCTTTTATTTGCCCATGGTATCTGACGACCCCAAACCTCCATACCTTGCGTACGCTTGTGCTTGTCTTGGCGCGGCTTTTCTTCAGAGTCCCCGTGGCATAGATAGCTCTCCTTTCGAGACGGAAACGGACTAGAAGAGTGCCACTGAATATTTCTGGGCCGGGTCCAAGCTGTTCACTCTAATACTGGAAATAGATAATCGCGAAGCTCGAAGAATTGAGATTGTTATAGCGGTAAGAATGAGGTGGACGATTTAATTTGCGGCTGTATATGGCTAAAACAGACCCAGGGAGCTCTTCTGGAGACATTCGGGGTATTGAGCGGCGATCCTAAGATTTGTAAGGCTGTAAATCGATTTCACGGGTATCTGGAAACTGTAAGCAGCCATCTCTCTTCTTCTATATTTGTGAATTTGGCCTGAAGCCCTCTATAGGTTGCACGGAGGCTGAAACTCCATGAATTTTCGTTCCAACAAAAAGAGAATCAAAATGTCTCCTTGCAGCCGCTGGCTAGCAGTCACAGGTATGGAGGACTATCTATCCCGCTTTCCCCTGGCTAGCAAGCCCTCTTCAATACAGTCGACTTATGAGCTACCTGTTTCTCTTGGATATCATGCGAGCGGTTCACTTTGGTCGCACTCCGTCATATTCCACAACAGAGCTCCAGATGCCGCTGCCTTCTGGAAGATATGGCTTTCAAAATGCATATGTCTCCCTAGTCCATGGCGGGTTCAGTTATTCTGACGTCAGTAGTGAGGATTCATTACTGCTATTAAGTGCAATTATTTCCGACGCCATCATTTACTTGCGAGTCTTCGGACATGCAACTTACCATAAACCCAGCTCCCTCTCACTCCTCGGTAATCCACCGGACTATCTAACCCCTTTTACCCCTGGTCGAGAAGCAATAAGGATCAAAAGCGATCTGTCGACAGCGCTTGACAATTGGCTTGAATGTTTTGGATCTGGAGTGCCGTCAGACATAAAGGCTCTTTATTTTTTTCTGCCGCCTACTCTTGGTTTGTCCCCAGGTAGGAGAGCTTCCTAGATTGGCCGGCTATGGTATTCATCCGGTTCAACCTGAATGTCAGATCCACGTCTTTGACGCTCATAACATTGAATTAGCCAGAATCCCAGAAGAGGCCCTGACGTGCTCGTGGTATATACTGGAACAGGTGGACTCTAGTTCTAGCAAGACGGTCGATTCTATCTGGCTTCCCATAATTATCTTTTACGCTGCGCTTGTTGTGGGTGCAAAGTTGAGGTCTGTGCCGCCGGAAGCTACCAGTCAGTACGGTACTATACGTTCTTTAGCTCTATTCAAGGCTGGGTTAGAGCATATGATGCGGCCATGCTGCGGCCATATGATCACCATAATATATAAACTAATGACAAGATAATACACGCTGTTTCCTACATCAAAGAACTCCAAAGAGGCTTGATTAAGAGGCGGTAGGTTTTGCAGACTTCTCCCACCATGTCTCCCTGGGGGCGTGGATGTTGGTGCTTGTCCGTCAGCCATGCATGGTCGACGGCCTTGGGTTTCAGAAACGTGATCCGACTGGTCCTTAATTGTTCGATACGCCCAAGAGCGTCGAATTACAGGCCCTTTGACGTTTTGCACAGATGTCAGCAGGCCCAGGAGGCTGAGTGTCAACTGCTTTAAGAGGCACTTCTCTTGGAAAACAATGGAGTATTTCATGCCCGTTATGGTTGAACTACTAAGGCAGGTAAGTTTACTTTTTTATAGCCTGGATCAACCGGCCTTAAAAGGTAAGCGAACAGAAAGGACTGGGAAAGATCCACTTCTGAAACAAAACATTTCACATTGTAGTCTAGCTCATTTCTTCCACAGCTTGGTTCGTGAAAGAAAATTACATACTCATCATTACTCATGATGGCTCATGCTTTCTGGGCACAATATATACTTGATGGTAGGCTCGATCAACCCAGCACTCTTCTCTTCCCCCGAAATCCTTTCTTTCACAGATAGATTCCGCTACACACAAAAAGCACCGTTCTCCCGAATACCTTATTTTGCTAGTCTCGACTGGCCAAACATGCTTGACGCAGCTATGGCAGAGGGCCTAAATGACTATCGACTGGACCATACCGATGCTTAATCACGTCCAGCAATCATCAACACACTAGCGAACGGTCTTAAGCTGCTATCTGCGAGCTTTCCCTGGGTCGCTCGCCAGGTTGTTAATGAAGATGCAGGCGAAGGAAATACTGGAATCTTCAAAATTAAGTCTTTGGGGGAAGCTCCACGTCTGGTTGTGGAAGATTTCCGAGATGATCCCTCGACGCCAGCAATGGAAACCCTTAGACAAGCGAACTTCCCCTTCAGCTTGCTGGATGAGAGCACGGTTGCCCCACGCAGAGCCCTCCCCGGAGATTGTGGCTCGAATTCTGCTTCAGACCCATCACCGGTTTTCCTCGTTCAAGCAACTTTCATCGTCGGCGGCCTCCTGCTCACCTTCGTCGGCCACCACCAGTCCACTGGGCGTAAGCGAAGACAGCATCAAGATCCATCCTACCGACCGACAAAGTTATCAAAATTCTCGACTTCTCGCCCTCATGACTCCACAAGCATCGACAAGAAATCATCTCAGACTCCAACTTGAACAAACATTCGGGTTGTATATTGACATAACTGCAGATCTAGCCAATATGGAGATTTTGAAGGTTAAATCGGCGCTCGCCAAAATTCTATCGGGTCCAGTACGATGGCTCTTAAACATTACTTAATGACAGGGGCTTCTGATCGGCATCTATGGATATCCCAAATTCTCCAATACTTATATAAGACGCATCTTTCTTCCTAGCCTCACACATTTTATTTATCCAGATATTTCTTCTCAGCACGTCACATAAAGGCATTGTTGCTGGTCTTCCAGTTCATCTTTGCAACGTGATCAATACATTTGATAACCCCCGGATGCGGAAATCGCCTGCCCTGTTACCCAACGACTCTCTTCCGATGCTAACCAAGCCACAATCTGTGCAATATCATCGACAGTCCCAAGCCGATGCTCTACAGGCGTGATCGACTTCTGCAAGGCAATCAAATCCCGCGGGAGAGTATCCAGCATTTCCGTCTGAACGGGTCCGGGATTGACGGCATTCACCGTGTGGCCGCGGTCACCCAGCTCAGCGGCCCAGCACCTGGTCAGGCTCTCCACCGCCGCCTTGGACGCACAATAAGTAGAAATATTGGCGAACCCGCCTCGTGCCCCGATGGAGCTGAGGTTGATGATCCGTCCCGGGGCCTGGAGGTGTGGCAGAACGGCTTGCGTCAGGAAGATGACGGCGCGGACGTTCAGCTCGAAGATGAAGTTGTAATCGTCAACGCGATGATCAGCGAGCGGTTTCGTGATCTCACAGCCGGCATTGTTTACGAGGATGTCGATGTACGGACCAAAGGCCTGGGCTGCCGCGTTCACGATTGCCTGAGGTGCTGAAAGCTCCCGGAGATCAGCCTGGATTTTGGCAACGCTAGATCCGTTATTCAGGCTCCTGATCCGCTCCATCAACTCATTGACCACGCGCTCGCTGCGCGGAGAGGCATATGTGATAAGTACCTTTGAAAACTAATTAGACACGAGGTGAAGAAGAAATTGGCTAATATATGTCGTACTACTTACTTTGGCCCCTCGTCGGGCTAGTTCTTCAGCAATACCGGCTCCAATGCCTCTGGATGAACCTGTAACAATGGCGACCTTACCGGTCAACGTTAGGGGCTGGCTACTTGGAGCCATTTTGTATAAAATTGGGTGTTTGGAAGGTTTTCGAAGGAAACTGATGTAAACGGTTTTCCCGAATGGATTAAGAGAAGCTGCCTGGGCTGCAAATGGTACTGAATGAGTTCATATTCGGGGAGGACCATGGTCTCTATTTATCGGTTTGATTTGGCCGTCTTAGCAGGGCATGTGCTCTTCCTCCTCGAAGCCGTCGACGCATGAAAGTGGATATAGAGGTTCGGATGGTTCAGGCGGTTGAATAGTTGCAATAGCAAGACAGGAATGACTTGATCGACATTCTCCGATCTGCAACTATTTCCTATATAGTGTCACCGGGGCTTATACCCGCTTCAAAATTCCGCTGTGCCACGTTCTGAAGGTATGTGGTGTCGCCATATGTGCAGGGATCCTGGTGTGAGCTGCAGATAGTAATGATTGAGTCTCCCATCCTAGGGTTAGCGAACTGATGGCAGAACCACACGTACTTCTTTCTGGTATAGACAGGGTGCGCTCAATTGTAATTTCATATCAGATACCAAGAGCCTCCTGCTAATGGTACATGCAGTATAATACTCTACACACAAAGTTTAGTCAGTCAGTGCCCCGAAAACATCACGCAGATCCACGTGACTCATACATAAACCAGACCAGAACATGATCGGGGGACATTGACTGTTGAACGGATATACGGGAGCCGTGTGCTCTAAATCCGAACCATTATCCTGCAGTAGTTCCGCCTGCGGCAGGACCACAAGGCACGGCGACCCTTGATCGGGCCGTGACTTCCGAGCTCACTGCGGGAAAGCCGACCGATTGCGAATGTCCCCTTTCGAGGTGTGCCCGGCTTCGGCTCTAACAAGGATTCTACGCAGCGTACAAGCAACCTGCATAACTGATCGCCCCACAGGCATGCATATCAGCCTGCTTCCTGTCCTCCCAATGCCTTTATCGCGGAGCCTGCGGATCACGTTTCTAATCCGTATGGTTCCGTAGCGGCATCTCCCTCCCAACGAAGCGAACAATGTCTTAAGTTATTCAGAAGGGCTGCTAGCCGTACTATCTTATTGTACTGGCGGGAAAGGCCGCATGTGCATTAATTCTCATTATGTAGTACGTCTGGAAATCTTTTGCCTGTCCGACTTACGTTCAGGTCCACCAATCAACTAGTGCCAAAGTAGCTGGATAGTACGGTGTATGTTTTAGGCGTTTATGATAAACCTGGGCAAGACATCTTAAGATCGTGGGGACTCGTCATCCGTGGATTGAAGATCGAGAAAGTCAAAATATCTAAAGCCAAACCAGAGATGAGAGTCTATAGAACCGAATAAAGTAACAAGCACAACGCAAAAAAACAATCTAGATGTAATAATCACACTGCGCAGGTATCCCACACATGGAATGGCCCGAGATCCTCTGAATGATCATCGTCCGCCCCGCCCCCCGCCCCGAGAAAAGAGTCCTAGTCTACTCAGCCTTCTTAGAAGCTCTGGTCCGAAGTCGCATCATCAAATAGACCAACGCGTAGGAACTAATAGCGAAGATAACGACGATTCCCGCATCGCGCCACCCATAATAATAATCCTTCAAATTCATGGTGTAGAGATAATCGCTTCCTCTCTGATACTGGCAGACTCGGCACCCAGTGACGGCGGTAGGGTTTATGAGCGAGGTTCTTGCTCCCTCATCTTGTAGATAATCGCTCAGATAACTCTGGCATGTTTGACCAGCGGGGGGGTCGAAAACAGCATATTCATTCTCCGCGCATTCAACGCGCGAATCGAAGTTGCCGAAGACCAGAAGACTGCCCATGACGTAGTTGAATGGATTCAGGTAATACATCCAGTAGCGCCAGAAGGTCTGGATCTGTGAGTACGGAACCAGGGCACCGCAGAATTGGACTAAGATGCCTAAAAAAATTGGGTTGGCTAGGGATGCGAAGACGGCGTTCGGGGCATAGGCCGCAATGCATTGTCCGATACCTGGAATTCAGTGTTAGACATGTCGGAAGCTAAATCGGATGGGAAAGTGTCTTACCTGTATAGACGAACTCGTACATCAACATCACAAATAAGGTGGCACCGGATTTGTTGGAGTCCTGCGGAAAGCCGACGGTATAGTACCAGCAGAGGAAGTAGATCACACCCGAGACCAGCAGATAAGGTATTTCGGACACAATCAGCCCTGTGGTAAATGAAATCCAAGAGTACATGCGGGCTTTCTTTTCGCGCGCATCATAGATATCGCGACGGTCGATAAACAAAGGTTGTAGCTGACTGATAACCCCGGGTGACACGTAAAGGAAATTGAAGATCGTAAATAATCGAAGCTGTAACCCGGCAACAGTTGGCCCAATCTTCCAGAAGCTAAATCCATTGAAAAGGCCAAGAACAACGTGAAGCATCAGTTTGTTGTTAACGTAATCTGTATTGCGGAAGAGGGCGACATTCATACGGTGGGTGACTATCTTGATTTGCTCCCAGAGAGGGGTCGCAAATTCCCGGCCGTCGTCGTCATCCGTCGCAGATGGGTTATTGGCGGCGGCGGTAATAATTTGGTCAAGTTCTGCTGTCCGGAGCGCGCACTCTGGAGATTCCAACCAGATTTGGTTCCAGTCTCTTCCCTGCGAGAGATGGCCGGACGTGACATCGATCATAAACTCCGCGGGGTTGACGTCCGGTGGACAAACCAGACCTTGGCGTGCAAAATACTCCTTGATAGTAGCAGCATTATCTCCGATGTCCCCGAAGTAAACAGTCTTACCACCCCGAGCTAGCAAGAGAAGGGTGTCGAACTGGGCAAATAACTGTGCTGACGGCTGGTGGATGGTAACCAGGATTGCCTGACCAGCATCTGCTAGTTTCCGTAAAAATCGTACTGTATTAAATGCAGACTGGCCATCCAGGCCGGAGGTGGGCTCATCCAGGAAAATGAGGACACTGGGTTTGGCAACTAATTCAACCCCAATCGTGACGCGCTTGCGTTGCTCAATAGACAGACCCGCACCAACCTGCTCAACAGAACGAGTAAGCAACTTGTCCTTGGAAATCAATCTGGCAGTTAGCCAACATACCTTTCCAATCAACATATCAGCGATATCTTCTAATTCCAGTAACTTGATGATAGTTTCCACGTAGGCAAGCTTCTCCTGCCTTGGAGTGTCATGTGGTTGACGGAGGAGAGCAGAAAATTCCAGAGCCTCTCGCACAGTTGCATAGGGCTCATGAACATCGAGTTGCTCACAGTATCCAGCACTTCGTTGGAACGAGACTGGTAGTGGCCTGCCGTCCACTAAAATTGACCCATGAATAGTCCCTTCTGTTTTGCGCTGAGCAAGAACATCGAGTAATGTCGTTTTCCCGGCACCAGAAGAGCCCATCAGGGCGCCTAACATGCCAGGTTTGATATAGCCATGAACATCATTCAGTAAAACACGGTCCCCCGAGGGAGTATTGACACTGTAGGTCAGGTTTCGCCATGTAAAAACCGACGTGTTCCGAACCAAGCCATCAACCTCTGCCTCTCCGCCGCCTTCCTTGATGGATTTCAATTCCCGTGGCTGACCCTCCACGTCTGCGGTGTGCTTACCCTGCTTCTTCATGAGTTCGCGCGGCGTGAGCATCGTTGCACCTGACTCTGACGCATCGTGCCAAAGACTGGTTGCCACCACGGTAATGAGGACGAACAGTGCCCACCAGCACCAGACCACACCGAAATTTCGCCACGCATGGCCATGGCTGTAGTTCAAAGCATGAAGGTACTGATCTCCGGTCACGCTAACCTCGCCCTGGACCGCACCCTGAACCCCAGCACAGGACTGGTGATTGGTGCTGTTGTATCCGGGTCCGTTCGGAATCAAATTGCTGCCAACACAGTCGATCGTGTGTCCGTGGAATTCGTTCGATAATAGAGTCTCGAACGAGTATGCAATTGGGTCGATCCAGAATATCCAGATAAACCACCCATGCATTTTTGGATACTGGATCATATAGCCCGCATATATGACCGTGGCGGAAATCAGGAGACCGGAGACCTTGGATGCCGCATCAAAGGTTTTAAATGCTGCACCGATAGCCCGGAACATGGCTGTCAGGCACATGGTTATCACAAAGAGACTGATCCAGTAGGTAAAAAAGGCTGCCGCTGTTGCCTTCAGCCCAACCATGAAGTATATAACAATGCCGAAGATCGTGATGCTGAAAAGGACGATCGGTATATCCGCAGCAATTTGGGCAATACAGAATGCTGCAGGATGGTAATAGCCGAACGACTTGTGTTTGATCATGACTGGGCGCCCGGTAAAAGAGTCGGTCACCTCAGAGAGCGCCATCAAACTGTTGTATAAGATGGAGAAAAACAAAGCACCTCCTTTGGTAAAAAGGCCAGCGGTGGTATTGGGAGAGTCATAGAATAGCGACCCGGCAATCAGCGCTTGAATCAGGTTAGAGGCCTGCTTGATAATCAATGTCGGTTTATCGCCCCAGATGATTTGGTACTGTCGAACAACGCAAGCATAGACCTGCGTGAAGAAGCTGACCGTCAGAGCCGTATTGGATAGACCCGGGTGCTTTTCCAGGGCAACCGATTGCTTGAAGAACTCTGTGTCTTGTGCAGCACCCGCGCCAGAGGGGTAATCATATTCCAGGGCCATCATTTTCCTGGTCTCCGTTTGCTCGTATCGTGCCAGGATTTCGTCCGCATTCCGGGGGAATATTGATTCGTACCCAGGCATGATTTCTCGCTCAGTGGGAACAGTTACTCCGGTCAAATAATCGGCAGTATTTGCGCCATCTCTGCAAGCAAAGCCCAGACTTTCCATAAAGGGACGGGCCTCGCGCATAGGCCCATAGAAGATTTGCTTACCTTCATCCAGAATTAGGACCTTGTTAAACAACTCGTATATTCCGTTGCCTGGTTGGTAAAGAGTAACAATTGTCGCAAGGCCAAGCACATCTGTCATGGTTCGAATGGCCTTCGTCCAGTCGAGAGCAGTGCTCGCATCAAGACCACGTGTGCTATTATCCCAGCAGAAAATTGAAGCCCGGGATGCCAAACATTCGATGATTGATACCCTCTTCCTTTCTCCACCGGACACTCCCCGTACATACTCATTTCCCACCTTGGTCTCGTGTGTGTGAGAGATGCCCATCGAGGCCAGCAGGAAGTTTCTGATCTGGTCTTCGTATTGCTGAACAGTGATCCCGTTCGGACGATGGTGGGGTACCTTGAGCCGGGAGGCAAATCTCATCGTTTGGTTGACCGTCAAGGTGGGAAAGAACAGCTCTTCCTCAGTATTCATCACAATCTGACTGCGGTACTGGCCAGCCTCGGTGTAGGGCATAGACCCGTAGAAAACATCTCCATCGACTGATTGATACCCCTTCCGCCTGTTTGCAAGTACTTTCAACAAGGTCGTGCATCCCGAGCCGGGGCGGCCTAGCACAAGGAGCATCTCCCCGGGCTTGACACAGCCATGGGACCGATCAATGATTGTTTTCATTGGTGGCTTGACTCGAAGGTCTCGAAGCATTTGGAGTAGGTTCAACTGCGATAGGATGTTTTCTTTGACGCTGGCTTGGGCACTGGTTGCTTGGACCGTAAGATTGTTCCAGGTCACCCCGAGACGACGTTCCATAAGGTTGGCCTCGATGTTTTTGCGATGGAAATCCTCCACCTCCTGCTTCATGACCCATTCCTGACTATCCATTTTCAACTCGCAACCCGACTCGGAAGGTGACGGTCCACGAGTGACGGTGGATGTTGAGTCGTTCCCTTTCGGATCGAAGTCTGAATGTTCCATTGTTTCGATATAAGACTTGATAGGATGGGAGAGTAACTTTGAGTCAATCCGCGATTCAGACCTTAGGGGAGCCCGGACACTTATAGTCTGACTTTGCTACTAGCAGGATGCACTAATTATTCATTCATGTACTATTCTCTAGTTATCCATGGAGATCGATCATATTCGTCCAGGAGTTCTATGCATAGTTTTGACGGAAGAACTGGGCATCCGGTGTCCGTGTTCCTTGTAGGGGGTTCTGATTTCATTATTCCAGAATATTGCAGAGCCCCTTTCCCAGTAGGCCTGGGGTTCGGGTTATCAAGTTTTGTTTTATCTTCAGCTTCACGATTGGCCCAGACGGAAATCGAGACTACACACCTGCGGGTTTACAGATTGCACATCCATTAGAAGGATCAAGGACCCCTTGCGGCCCACCAGTAACCTGAATGATAGGATTAGTCGTTGATGAATTAGATACCCACCACCAGCGGATCTAATCTATCGAACAGGAAGAGGGGAAGAATGGTCATTCTAACCTACAATTATCTGTGGGACAAGGCCATGTGTTCTGACCGAAGAATACAATCGGAACCCGATCTAGCAGAAGTGCGGCGAGGTACAGACTTACAACTCAGAAGTGAAGGTAGAAACGAAATTATTCATGTTCAATGTGTATTGCGATGATGATCTCGCCACATATAGCCATTCCTGAGTCTCGGCCTGCGGAGGATTGGTTCAGTAAACTATGTCTATTTAAAATGTAAGTTTTATTTTAGGTATTTTCAAAAATTTAAGCAATTACTAATTTAAGAACCATTTAGAATAAATAAGATAATTATATTATTTACTATAAAGAACTCTTTTATTATATACCAGGCGTCGTTCGCCCTTTTTTCCGACTGAAGCGGTAAGCTACGAACTGGTTACGGCTACTTAGGTAGTCAGCGCTAATCCGAATTGCCGCTCCTGCTCGTCGAACTCTTCTTAGAATCGGAACTTAGCTTTAAATTTGAAACTTTAAACTCTGTTGATGGACCGTCGTTCTTCCTATCTTCGGAGTACTACCGGCTAAGATTGGGGGTGGAGCTTCTGTTTCTTGGCCCTGACGCACGGATCTGAAACACGGGTATGAGGCACGGATATACACAAGCCCTCTTGTATATCCGTCTGCATGAGGGATCTAGAACCCGATAGACAGTTGTACGACGCGAACAACAAACTTTAACAGGGTGCAAATCACCCATGATTGGCAAGTAGAGACAAACAGCGGAGAATCGCCCTGCTTTCGTCTCCCCTTATCCATATTGTGGGAAGCCGCGCTTTGCATGACGGGACAACAGCTCCGAATATTTTTGCCACATCCGCAATTCTGGCTCCCACAGTGTCCCATACCTTCAAGTGGACCTCAGCAAATGACTATCCGGATATCCAAGCTCTAAGCACCGAGGTGTCAGTCTTCCCTTCAAACGATCCCCGAGCAATTGAATCCTTGAGACAGGTAAGGCAGTGCACTTCCGAGACAAGACAACCTCAATTGCGTGACGCTATCGAAGAGTGATCACCGTGGATTTCATAATTCTTTCTATACCATCGTGCGAACGATCAATGCGGTCAGCATCCCCACCTCGCTGCCGAATCTCTAAGGCTTGTCAGGAGTGCCGGCGGAGGAAAATCAAGTGCAACGGCAGCAGCCCATGTGGTGCCTGCCATGAACGAGGTTGGCCATCTTGCATATATCGTGAGAAACCTCGCACTAGGCGCGTCAGAGCATCGCGTCGAGTTTCCAGCCGCGTTAGAAGATCAGAGCCACCAAAGGAACGCACCGATGGTCGCACACACCGCGGCTCACCACACGATGAGCGACATAGTAAAACCTCTTCTATACGGCCGGCGACTCAATTGCCGTACCATCTCAACTATGGTCCATCGTCGAACGTCTCTTTGATGTATCACCTATTGCAGGAATACCGCCCAGCGCTCTCAACGCAAGACAATTTGGCCGATTATCATGAGCATGAATCCCCGGATCCAGAACGAACGCCCTCAACGAGCTCTGAGGAAAAAAGAGCAGACAAAGATCTTGTCAGACGACTAGACTCCGTACCTTTTGCGGTGGCTTCCACAATTCTCGAGCATTTCATATCCGTACATAACCTTCTCATTGTTCTCCATCCGCCGGAGGTTTTGAGGCAACACTTGGACGCATTCTATAGTCGATCACCCGATTCCTTTCTGAGCCGATCTGAATGTCGCGTGCTTACTCTGATACTTGCCATTGCTGCGCTCAATACCGATCATTATCGCCTCAGTGATATGCTATTTAATCAATTCAAGGAAATACCCCGCCCCGGGAAGCCCTTGGCGTTGCACTCGATTGAGATCGATTTACTTATGATAAGTTTGGCTCCATATAGAGGGTAGGAGTCAAGTGTTGACATGGGATCTCAGGTTACGCCTGCTTCTTCGCCGAGAAAGGCCTTTTCAACGACTCTTATCTTTGCATAGGGGCAGCGATTCGCAAAGCACTTTCAGCTGGGCTGCACAAAGCCTCATCACCACACACAAAAACCGAAATCGGAAGTAGAGAGCAAAGAAACCTGGTCTGGATGCTCTATTATTTTGAAAAGTACTCTGGCACTTATTCATCTACACACCGTGTCTAACGACGGCTTGATACAGCTATTTGTGTCTGCACCTAGGACGTCCAAATTCTTTCGCGTCTGTCACAATCGCCCTACCGCCCCCAGAAGACCCATTCCTTTTTGCCATCGTTCGTCTTTCCGGAATGATGATGAAGTGTGCGAATGAAATCTACGTTCCTGCGCAAGAGACTATAGTACGAAAGTGGCAAAGCGCGACTATAATTCTGGACGAGCTGCGCAATTACGAGGAAACGGTCATTGAAACCTTCGGGTTTGGCCTTCAGCTCCTGTCGGACACTGGACATTCGGATGTGCGGAAGACCATTTTAACAACACGTTAGTATTTTCTGCAATCACCAATTCTCGAATCTAACAAAATTTGCAGTACATTTGAACACCGTGATTATTACCTTGCGGCCGTTCATCATACTCCGTGGGAAGCTCAGACGCAAACAATCTGAGAATGCAAATGAAAATTCCAATCCGTTCCCGCGCTGGCTGGATGGCGCATGTGAGTTTGCCCTCCAGGCAACAAGACAATTGGTTCATTATCTCTACGTCGCCATAACGGAAAATTACACTGTCAAGGTAGGTATACTCCCTTTTCCACGTCTAGGACGGGTAGTCGAATGAAAGTTCGCCTTCTCGCGGATTTCTTTCTAACCTCTCGGAGTTAGGCCATGCTGTTCAATCACGTCTTCCTGGAGAATTGCTGTGCGGTGCTCATTTACGAAATTCTACATGACCGTACCAAGGCTTCCGATCATTTGCCTTGCGTCTATCAGGCTCTCCACTCTCTGCTGCAGATGAGGGACGCTAAGCCTATCCAGCATCTCATATGCATACTGCAGAAGCTTCTACATGAGGTTCATCCCTCTGAGTCTGACCAGTTGACGTACCGACAGGAGGGCGGGAGGTCGCGGCATTTGCATGAAACGCTACATACCTAGCATTTGTTCCTTTTTTGGCCCAGCTTGAGACTTTCGAGGACGGAGAACTAATAACTGAATGGCGAAGAGAATGGAAGAGGATGGTGACGCTGGGGTTTTACACAAGTATAGAATAAGAAAGTGATCAGTTTAAAATGAAGGGTGGTTGTTTCCATCGCGCTCTTCATTGTTTACTCCTTGAATCTGTTGCTTCTTAGCGATATGTCTTGTTCCTGGAGTGGTTTCACCAAATTTCACTGCGATAATATTCACTAGGGCGCTGGACTAGACCTGTTCGCACTGAGGGGAATGTTCGGCTCAAGCTGGTTAAAGATGATGTCAGATTCGTTAGATGAAAAGAGATCATTTTATGTGTGTGTGATCATGTCTTGTGTTGATTGTTCTAAGCCTAACAGGCGATTCCTGACTAGACATAGACGCCACAATGGTTGAAAAGGAGGGTTAAGATGGCTTCTATAAGCATTGTATAAGCCTCTGAACACAGCTTCACCATCTAAATCATATTTATTTATATATTCGTGAAGATATCACGAGGTAAAGTCAGCGGTATTTTGGGACCAGTGCCAAGAAAAAAACTTGAACCAAAACTTGAACCAAAACCTGAACCAAATCACGTGATGCCCATCATGGCCCATTGTGGTCCTGATTCCTGAAGCAAACTATGAGTCTATGAGACTATGTCTCGACTGCTCAGAAGTCGTACGCGAATGTTACCAGATCATCAGAATGAGATGGCTTAAAAAGCCAGCAGAGGGTAAACTACACGGGTCCCTAGTAGTATATATAGAGAAGAAAGAAGACAGAGACGCTTTGATTGAACAAAGAGTGATTGAACAGCCGGGATCAGGTGAAGCTGCAGCCTGCCATACCAGGGCCTTCGAGCACCGCCTCTTCCCTATCCGCTACTATCAATACCATCAATACGGACATCAATGATTCCGCTGCCAAAATGCAGTCACCTGCGCATGATGTGCCTCCAGAGGGCATGAAGAAAATACATGCACATCGGCCGTTGTCAAATGTGCAGCCCAAACCGCAGAGAAAAAATGTGGAGGCCCCACTAATGGAAGAATTGCCTTCCAACATGGATATATACTCAGGTGGCCTTATTATATCACTTGGGTGCTGAGTTGATTCAAATGCATTGCCGAATTCCCTACTAAATAAAGCGCTTTAGAGATCGATTTATCTATGTGGCGACTGTGGCCTAGCTGAAAATGGAAAGAGGGGAAGAGATCTGTAAACACAGGAACCTCACACTTCGCAACATCAGACTCTACTTAAGGGGGGTGGTTTTTAGTTTTCTAATACTTAGATATAGTAAAACTATCAGTTTAAAAGCAGAGCACGATCAGCACAAAATAGAAAAGAGTATTATATTATGTATTGAGATAATGGCGTTTGGCTGGAATCGTCGCTGGAGAAGTGGAGATATACATTTCTGACTCGTCATATTGGAGTCCTTTCAGCTGAGGAGTCTTTTCAGCTGATATCTCATCTCTTTTCCTTTCCTTTCCTTTCCTTTCATCTTCTTCTCTCCTATTCTTTCCTCAGGCTATATGATTTAGATTTATATTTTCCTGCTTAATTGTACACTCAAACCTTTACATGCAGAATGGGCCGTCGGGGACCACAATCTAAATATGCAAACAAGGCAGAAAAGCTTCAAGCACGTCGGCTACGTTATCAGGAGAGAAAGATTGCCCAGAACATGGTTGATGGACCACACGGTGAGGATAACCATGTCTATACTAATAAATATATTGGGCTAATCTGTAGTTTGCAGTTGAGGAATTTGATTCAACGAATAATTTTGATTTGCCTGTGTCGACCGTAGAGGTCAATATTGATACTTCTGACATAGACTGTCCGCCACGCTCAGCAATACAGCCAGTTCCTTCCTCTGCCAATTCAATGAGCCCTATCCTCAATGAGTGTCCTCGCAGCCAGAGCCCCCTTATTGTCCCGCGCCCAACCCATACTCCAGAGCCACTCAGCCTGGCTAGCAACAAACCACTATCCCCAGATGCTGCAGCCTTCATTTGCTCCCCCAACTCCCCAGCATCTGACAGCGCGTACAACTCTGATACCGATTATTCTACAGAAATCAATACACCAGCCATGTATCCCCTTGGAAACAATAACCAGATCAGCCTAAGCACACAACTGGTTCAGCAGTTAATCCAGTTCCAGGGATGCTGTCAAGACTGTCATACACAGATCCGCGTGAAACAAGATCAAGTGCGAAAGTCAGAGCTCTCTCTGAGTCTCAGTGAAATCATCCAATGGCCATGTCCCGACGTGGTGGGTACCGCAAGAATGGCACGGTCAGATGATAGTTGGATCTCTGAATGGTCTGCCACACAGCAAGAAAAACTATTTTGTGGGATCAGTCCTTCCGACTCCAAGGAGCCACCTCATGTAATGCTCGACCTCAGCCAGGAGCATCTCAACCAATCAGATATTACCTTTGACATTGATAGCGTTAGTGCCTATCTATCCAGCCTTGCTGCAGCTCGTTGTGGGATCCGGTGGTATCCAAGCCAGCCACCAGTCTCCTCCCTCCGATCAAGCCTCCATCTCGACCCTATTCCTGTCCAGTATGTTGACCACGACGGCAAGCACCACTCAGTCAATGTACCGCTACATCAGGTGAATCATATTGCCCTGGGTCGAGTGGTGGGGCTTGAGGATGCATCTATCTATGTCTTCTTTCCTGGTCTTTATCGACCTAACCAGCGGACCAATCGACTGCGGGATTATGAATTTCAGATCTGGATGGATGAAATTGTGCTCCCAGCAATCCACCAGTGCTACTCTGGTTCCGAGTTGCAACATTATCCCTCAAGCTTCAGGCATGGACAAGCCAATTCCTGGGCCGCCTGGGCCGAGGGACGGTCAATCCATACACAGTCCCGTCAACAATTGCTGAGTTATTTTGTCCCCGCAGAGCAACTTAACCGACTATGGGAGAAGATGCTCCAAATTATCAAGGAAAGACATCTAACTGGCTTTGATCATCTACTGTTGTTCTTAGACGCCAAGAATTTGAAACTTTCCACTAAAGCCAGGACATGGGCGGCAATGAGGACCTGGTTCTAACAGACCTGGGGCCATGCAATTGATAACTATTATGTCTATCAAAGTTTTATTGATGTTGGGAAGGAGATCTGTCCATCTATAAGTCATGTTGCGGGTAATAGTTCAAGTGCAGGCTCACAGAGTCTGTTATGGAAAAGATGCTGTCTCCAGAAATATCAAAATTCTTGTCAACCCCTCGAAGCATCTCAGGCCACCTTTTACCCTCTGTCATTCCTGCGGGACAGTGGTTCGTTGACCTTGGAGACACGCCGAAATAGCCATCTACGCCAGGAAAGATTACAGTACAGTCAATTCTATTGTTCTGTGAAAGAGGTCCTGGCAGCAGGGAATCAGTATCCCTTCAGCAATGTAATGTTGGAGGCATTAGCCCTTGATGCTCAGTTCCTTAAAACATTGCAGCACCTGGGCCGCGGATCTGGATATGACATTGCAATACTCACCAAGGCATATATACACAGCAAGACTCGGTGCAGCCAGTCAATTGATGGATCAATGCAGAAATCCTTTGGTGTTTGGGAAGAGCATCGACTGAGGCACGACCTTCTCGATCAGATCGATGCCGAATTTTCGCGTCTTGGCCGAGCCCACGAGGCCTTTCGGATAAGTCGTTATCATCCCTTCTACGTTCATAAAACTTCCACTGTATTGGGGTGGGACCGGTGGAATATAAACAAGCTCTGTGGGGGGTTTGAGATGGCCTATAGCATTCAGAATCAGCATCTGGTCTCATGGGGTCGTACCCAAGTAATGCTGCACTTCCTACGCTGCTTACAACGCGCCTATGGTGGAGGGGGAAATCATCTACAAAGAAGTTTTGGATGCTGGCGAGATGTCAAGGAGACAATAAATACAGCTGGTGAAGTGGAACGACAGGAAGGGATGGGATTGCATGACACCCTCCAACAGTATGGATATGCATGGTTTCTCCCTAAAATCCACTGGAGGTCTATGGCATTTCAGCCCTAATACCGCCAGTATATGCAGTTCAGGCCATCTATTCTGGGGCAGTATTATACCCACTACCGGAGTCTTCGAAAGCATCAGGACGATTTTCTTCTTTTAGAGGACATTTTTGATGCTATGTCTAAACATCACATGGATCTATCTCGGTCATATGCGCTCCTCAGCCTTTTGATCGATTTTTGTCTGTGTATATTTCGACAAGATGTTTTCTCCTGCCTCTCATCTATGATCCGTCCCCAGTTTCAGGAGGCTGCAATGCAAGGGCAGATAGCACTCTGTGGGCCATCACTCACGAGGGTCCTTGAGGATACTTATCTCCCTCTGCATTTTGTTTCAGGCAACCGTCGAGTGGCCAAGCATATAGACGGTTTATTTTCCTGGCTGTGGGGCCCAGATGGAGATGAGTATAAACGACAACACTGGATGAATAAGCCTTACCGTACTGTCTACCATCGTTGTGTGGGAATGGTCTGAGAGATCTACGGAGAACCACAGGCGTATGCATGGAGAGTCAGCCTTAAACACCGGTTTATCAGCATGCATTGGGTGTTTCCTTATCCGCAGAATAACGCATTCCTAACCCGAAATCGCCAAGGCCGATACTGTTGGTGGTCTAGCTATCACCATGGGCTCCTGCGCGAATGGTCACAATCTACCATGAACAGTAAGAGAATTATTGGGATCACAGAACATCCAGACCTGCCTACTGAAGGTTGGGAGCCCGTCACCCATGACATGCCACTTGAAGTTGAGTTGCCTCGACTGCCTACAGATATAGAGGGATTTTTGAATAGGCTACCTACCATCCTAAACCACTTAGAGATCGCTTTTCCAATAAGGCAGTCAAGAAAAGTATATCCTGAGAGCAGCACCATCCGGCGGGAATACCAACTTCGCCCGCAAACCCACAGGATCTGTCCAGGACTGCCTGCCCATGATGAGGAGTGGCTTGAGCAATTTATCCCCCTATTTCTACAAGAACTAGCAGCATTCACAGGAACGCAACTTTCTCCAAATATTAGACAACCTCCACATCAATCCCAGCGGGCTGGGACATCATCCTTACAAGTTGATCCAACAGGCAAAGCTCAGGAATCTAATGGAGAAAATCATCAGGGTCAGCTGGAAGCAATTCAGTGTTACCACAAGCTGAAAACTCTGCGTCCTAAGCCAATGCTAATACATAAGGGAGCTTTAGCACAGCAGGGCACTGCCCAAATTGAGAGCAGTGCTAATATTTATCAAGGGGATAGTCCAATCCAAATTTATTCTGGAACATCACAACAACAAACAGTACCATCAAATGCTGGGCATCAATATTCTGGTGTGATAGAGTGGAAACATTGGGTACTACCAGAAGCACCTAATATAGATTTACCTCAAGATCTCAGAAAAACCAACATACCTCACGGACAGCGTCCAGTGGCTTTAATTCCAACCAACCCCAGACCGCGAGGCAGGCCACGAAAGTATGCTTCTCCGGACCAGTGATTGAAAGAAAAGGCTAGAAGACAAAAAGTCCAGAGGAGGAAAGTTGCTGCAGCAAAAAGAGAGATTCAGTTCAATAATTATTATCAGGCCCCCGGCGCTGACAGGCTTGCAGAGCGAGGCCTGTCTCTGATCTCCAGTCAGGCCTACAT